AAGAGCAAAATAAGCACAAAGAAACAAGAGCTTGTTTTCAGTTGCCAAATTACAGCTGCCCCTCAACTTTTTCTGACCATCTTGATTTCAGTGCGAGATGGTACTAAAAGTCCTCTGTCCCTAGTGAATCTATGTTTCATTCCACAGGGAGAGTCGTGTAAGAAAGCATACTGGATCCTGTCTGATTCCCTCTGCCTTTCAGGGAACCCCCTACTGCATGAAACCGGAAATCCAGCACTGCAACCAACCCCTTAGGGAAAACTGAAACCAAACCTCAGAGAATTCTCTTCCTCCTCTTGTTTCTCTGTTTCAGGTTTTGTTTTTTGTTTTCCTTTTGTATTCATTTCTTGCTTTTCCCCACGTTTTGGAATTCCCTGAGACCTCTCCAGCCTCCAGGCCTTTGCAAATGTTCTCTTCCTGAAATGCCCCTGATTTCAACGTTGTCCCCAACACACACACACACACACACACACACACACTCACACACACATAGTGCAGTTATGTTGTTGTTCTTTAATCAACTCACTTTCAGTTCAATCAAAACGTTACTGGGGAAGCTGATCTGCACTGTTGAAGATTCTCACAGTCACGAAGAACTGGCCGTATTCCCAGCCCCAAACCAGTCATTGCTAAGAGCCTGGGACCATCAGGACTACTGTGGCTGAATCAAGACCTGATCCCTGAGAATAGGGAAAAACTCTGCCTTCCCTGGGGCACAAGGCAACAAAGGACAGGAGACCAGAACAAAACTGAGGCTGTGTTAGGATGAAGGAAGGGAAATGGCAAAGCCTGATACAAAGGCCTTCTAGGCAGAAGGAAAGAGCCTCCATCTGGCTCATTCATACTCCCGTGCCAACAGGGAATTATGTCCTGAGGATACAGAGCAGCACTTCTAACCTTGAGTGTGCATCGAAATCCCCTGGAGGCTTGTTAGAGGACAGCTTGCTGGCCCCACTCCCAGGGATTTTGTTTCATTAGCTCTGGGGCATATCTGGGCACTTGGCTTTTTTTGTGTATTTGTCAGAGACAGAGCACAAGCTGGGGGAGCAGCAGGCAGAGGGAGAAGCAGTCTCCCCGCTGAGCAGGGAGCCTGATTCGGGGCTTGATCCCTGGATCCTGGGATCCTGACCTGAGCCGAAGGCAAACACTTTACCAACTGAGTCACCAAGTTCCCAAAGATATAAATTCTGCTTTTGGCTGCTATGCCTTTAGAACATCTAATACCTGGATAATGAGCTAACCAAAGCCCCTTCCAGCGTGGAGACTTCTGTAATGGAATATGAGGAAAGAAAAGTCAGGTGCACCTGGATGGCTCAGTTGGTTAAGCATCTGCCTTAGTATCAAGTCATGATCATGAGTTCCTCCGATCAGGCCCCACCCCACCTCCCTGTCAGCCCAAATAAAGTTTCAGCCCAAATAAAGCCCCAGGACAGGAAAGAGTTTGTGCTCAAGGATGGAAGTGCTGCGAGCTGGGGGACTAGGAAGCAAAGACAAGGTGTAAGAGACAGGGTTGGGGTTCAACAGATGCTGAGCATTTCCGACCTTGTGGGCCAGTGAGGGCAGCCAGTTTTATTGTGCCCTGAGAAACTCTTAGAATTTGAAAGCACCCAAGCTGCTGTGTGGAAAATGGGATTTATGGGATTAAAGGTAAAAGCAAGCAGAAGAGGGAAGGGAGAGGTTATTGCAATAACACTGGTGAAATTGTTACAGGTGCCATGGGCGGAGAAAGTCTAAAGAAGGGACCGATGAACCGGGTCTCGTGGGTGAAGAAACACGGAGCTGACGTTGACTGAACACGTTCTCTGTGTTTAAGAGACTGTACCGACCTCTTTATAAAGAGTAGCTCGCTTCGTCCTCTCACCACCCACAGTATCTAGACCCAACTATTCTCTCCTAGTTGACTAGGGATGAGCAAGGTGTGGGGCTGTGGTTAGAACCAGACAGTGCGTCTCCAGGCCGTGTGCTGACCCGCACCTGACAGCGCTGCTGCACTTCCTCGGTGAATGATGCAGAGTTATGGGACAGGATGAGGTTTCAGAGACTGGGACACGCAATTTTTAAAAAAACCTTTAAGCGTTCCACTGGAGGTCAAGTGCGTTGTTGTACATGTGAGTCTGGAAATCAGAACAACTTGGGGAATGAGCATGGAATTTTGGAGAGTTTGGAAATAGAAATTTACTGTTGTTGGCACACACTGAAACTGACATTTATCCATGGAGAAAGAATAAAGAAGTACTCAAAACTTTAGAAAGAAGGCAGCCAAAGATTCTAAATGGCGAGGAGAAAACCAGGGGGTAGGGTCACAGGAGTTAAGAAAATAGTTTCAGGGAGGAGTACATGGACAATCTGCTATGACATCACTGAAATGAGAACCCACAGAACAGTTAGATGCCGTAAATGGAACTCACTGGGAACTCAGGGTACAGGTACTAAACAGCAACCCAGACATATGGGACACTTCAGGGCTTAAGATTTTGCCTCTTCTCTGGGTCCCAAGAGTCCCCACATTGTCACCCTTTCTGTTGGGCCATCATGTCTGATTGATGCCAGCACCCTCCCAGTTGAATTTAGTGGATCTACTATCCAAAAACCAGGGAAAGGGACAGAAGAGAAAGGCCTGAGGACCCAGGGATTTCTTCATAGTGGTCTGAGAACATCTCTTTCAAGAGACATTTTTCTTCCTTAAATTACCTGCAATTTTTTATGATTGCATCCACAAAGCTTTCATTCATATACTGACAATTTCACATGAATATATGTAACGCATATCTGTTGAACACATACTATGATCATATTATTTACCCTGAGTTGTCTCACTCAATCCTCACAAAAATATGAAGCTTCTCATGCATTACAGATGGAAGCACTTAGTGATTTGCCAAAGATCACAAAGATAGAAAATGGCAGTTTGGGACTTCAAGATTATGTCTTCATGGTTTAAAAGTCCTCATCTTTTTAACTGGGCCTCTAATTTATGAGGAATAGTGATAAAAGTGAGAGCAATAATAATGAAAGAGAAAACATAAAGACTTTACCATGTGCCATGTACTGGGCAAAAAGCTTAGTACCAAATATTTGATTTTATTCACCTGAAACCCATAAGGTAGATATTACTGTTATCCTCATTTTACAAATGGGGAAACAGAAACACAGAGAGGTTAAGTGACATGACCAAAGACAACACAAACCCAAAGACTAAGCATCCTTCTGTATAATGTTTCCAGTTTGTTTTTTGTTTTGTTTTGTCTCTGAGGGGATATTGGGAACTTGTAAACTTAATCTATGATTTGCTCAATGACATAGACTACTACATACCTAGAACTTGTCAGTATATTTACCGAGACTGATGATGAGATACAGGTTCGATGGGCCTTAGGAAAAATTCATGGACTACTCTCTGAATCAGGCTGAAAATAAACTCCTTATTGTCTTTATTCACTCCCAAATCATCTGAGATTGAGTCAGTTTGGTCATTCAGGCCTCTGAGAATCAGAAATTTTCAAACTGGGCTATTTATCTTGCATTCTGACTTAAAAACTGTTAAGGCCTCATCTAACTTCTCGAGAATATATAGGTCTACTGCCTACAGTGAATAAAGAGTGACAAATTATTCTTGTTCAATTTGTTCTTTATGTAATATGTCTCCTTTCCTCTCTTACATTTTGGATGTCTGGATCTCAGACCCTGAAGTCCTAGACTCCAAGTTATTGACATGAGTCCATGGAGCCCTGGGAGTTCCTGGAATGAGCCTCAGAGGAAACATGAAACAGAGGAAACATGGGAACACAGCCCCATGAAATGTCTATATCCACAGGAATATTTTCTAACACATTCCCAAAGGACTTTGTGATCCACTTATTAAGATCAACTCTACCAAATGGAGCCAATACTTTGAAACCTCCAGATTACAACTGCCTAGGACGTTTGAACGGCCCGTGCATTTGTTTCTAACATGTAATGAGCTCCTACTCTGTGTTCTGTCCAGAATGGAACACAGAACATATACTAAGGAAAGACGCCCATTTGGAATCATCTTTCCTTAAAAGCAGTTTCAGATCAACAAAGCGACTGTCCACACTGCTACCTAATTTAAGAAAACAAAGCCGTATTTGGTTTGTAAAATTAAGTTGCTATAACAGAGGTTCAATAATAAATTAGCCTAAAGACAGTTATTCATGTCACACGGGACAGATGCACTGTGATTAATCCAGCTCTGAGGGGACAACTCTGTCCTTCAAGTCATTACTCTGTTGTCCCTTAGGACCTGATGCCTCTGCTAGGTCAAACATCACCTTCTTACTGGGTGGAAAGAGGGAAGATTTTAAAGCTCAGACCTGAGAGTGACTTCTGCTGACTTCCAAGAGATTTTAGCTACATTCTTACCTCTGTTGCCAGAAAAGCCAGAACATGTTGCCTAAGGCTAGAGACCCATCTTACTCGCTATCCCTTTATGTTTCAGTGAACAAATTTTATTGGAAAATAGCCAGTTTACAGTGAAATGATTCTCGCAGATTCTTTAAAATATAAAAACCATTGTGAACACATACACATTGGCAAAGCTGACAGTCTGACACTAAATTGACAGAATGTGCAACCAACTTGAAAAACTTGCATTTTTTCCTGATCCATACAGGTGGGACCTGAAGACATGAGTATGAGAGACCAGCCCTGACCCCACAGGATGTGTGGCATGCAGGCAGTACTATCCTTGTTAACTGAAAACTACAGCCTGTTTAGTCTATGATATTCGCCATAACGAGCCAACAGACCCTAGAGAGAAGTTAATCTGCATCTGGACAAGTCCTTCGGGATTCAAAGTCAAAACAGCTCTGCAAAACAACTGTTTACAAGAAAAAATGTACCCACTCTACCCTTAAGTACAAACTGCCTCTGACTTGTTTCTCAGAGAAACAAAAGCAGAAACACAATAGCAAGTTCTATCAATATGACCGGGAAATGGCAAAACAACTGCCACTAAGTAACTATATACCAGTAAATGAACAACTCTTTCTGGCGACTAGATGGGTGGCCCTGAAAAGGGCCTTTGGGTGAGAAACGAAAAGTTCCTAAGCAGAGACAAAAATGCTCAGCCTCCGAAGCCATAGAGGGTGCGACCCTGGCGCTTGAGCGCGTAGACCACGTCCATGGCCGTGACGGTCTTGCGCTTGGCGTGCTCCGTGTAGGTGACGGCGTCGCGGATCACGTTCTCCAGGAACACCTTGAGCACCCCGCGGGTCTCCTCGTAGATGAGGCCGGAGATGCGCTTGACGCCGCCGCGCCGAGCCAGCCGCCGGATGGCGGGCTTGGTGATGCCCTGGATGTTGTCGCGCAGCACCTTGCGGTGGCGCTTTGCTCCGCCCTTTCCCAGACCCTTCCCGCCCTTGCCGCGACCAGACATGACGACTCAAATCTCTCCAAACCTTTCAGGCACCACGAGCCGGGGCGCCAAGCAGCCTTTTTATAGCAAGGCGACGGACCTGTTTGAAAACCACAAGTGCAGGGGCGGAACCACATTCAACTCCCGCCCACCGCCTCTTTCTCATGCGCCCAGCGCCGCGCACACCAGGCAGGCAGAACGCCTAAAGCGACCGTCGGTCCGAGTGGCGGTGGGAGGGTGGAGGTGGGGGGGTGGGGGGTGTAATTCCACAAATCCCCCCATATACGGTCATCAGTGTGTGCGTGAGCGTGCCACACTTGCAGCCACTATGCCGGGCACCAACGCACAGGCTCTCCACAAAGAAGCCTCCTACTTGGCCTTCACACTTACCAGACAACCCGAGAAATACTCAGTTACTACTGGCTGTTGTCCCTAGGAGACGCTGGAAATAAAGTTTGAGGCTCATCACAGCTTTATCGCTAAGTTTGTGTTTCTCTTATCGAGTCATGTCTGGTTCGCTAAGGAAGGCTCCGGGGATGCAGCTGGATAGCCCTACGTGAGACTAAGGAGAACGTTAAACCTTTCAAAGTCAAATTGGAATCCATTGCATCTACACTGGTAATACTTGCTCACAAGGGCAATCCTTGACTTTAATGGATTAATAAACATACCTGTTAACAATACAACAGTTAGGGGTTTTGATAAGTTTGGTAATGGTATTGTAATAAGACCATTGTAATAATTCTTTTCCTATGCAATCCTTATGTATATTCTCTTAAGCACTTAGAAGCATTATTCTGGAAAGAAGCCCATTAGTTTCATCAGATATGCAAAGAATTCCATGACCCAAACTGATCAAGAACCCATCTTTAGGATCTTCAGAACCTTGAAAGACTCTAGGTTTTGAAAATGTACAGAGAGGAACTTTGGGAAATGCCATGAATTTTGGAATAAAACCCATATATTAGTAACAATACTCTAATGGGGTTGTGTAAAGGTAAATGGCAACGATTTTCTTCACTTACCAGCAGCAAAGATATCATAGCAAGATGTCGCCTGGTGTATGAAGGTGCAAAGGCAAATATCAAGCAAGTGCCCAGAAATACAAGTTTGAGAGTTAAGCAAGAGGACACACCTGAAGGGAGGGAGAGACTGGGAAGTTATCCACATCAAGGTACTCATGACCCCATGAAGGTGACTGGGGCAGTACTTTGGAGTCTCCCTACATTCACATGGCCTAGACACAGCTCTTCTTTCTTGGTACTGAATCTCTATTAATTCCCCCATCATGGTTGTAATTCTCCTTCTTCTGTTTCTTGTATGCACTGACTACTGTCACAGCCTGCCATGGCTCAGCCTTTCTGGAATTCATACTCCTCATTGTTACCACTGAATAATCTTCAAAACCAATTATGGAATCAAACCACCATAAGAGGAATAGGAATACCTTAGCTCCATGACAAGTGGATACAGGAAGTAAAAATGACTTATACTGAGTTGCTTGTTCATCTCGTCTCACCCATTTGAATCATGTTCATTTTTAACCTACAGTGATGCTAACTTTCATGTTTCCCTTGGATGTGCTGAAAGAAGTATTCATTCATTTCTCAATTTTGAGGGGATCACAAAGGAGGGTGAAATCTGCTCTGTGCATTTCCACCATTTCTTTCCTTCACCATAGAAGGGGAACACAGATTGCTACATGTTTCAAAATGAAGATACTATGTTAAAGACAAAAAGTGAATTTAAGGAGTGAAGAAAAGCACTTTGTTACATCACTTTCTGCTGTAAATCTATTTTCTATTCAACATTAAGCATCAGTTGTAATATGTTTCCTTCTATAAATAAAAAAAGGTAGAACAGAATATAAAACATACTTTTTTAAAAATGTCCTTCTCTCAAGGGAATTCCATAAGCATGAGAATGTCTGTGTCTGTCTGTTGTGCATGTGTATAAACGTTGATTCTGTTACGTTAATCCGTTCCATATTTTTCTTCCACAAGCACAGCAGAAACCTGTACCCACACTTGTAAATATATTAGTAACTGATCCTCCCCCAAATAAAATCAATGTACATAAGATAATATTTCCAACCAAAAAGGGGAGACAATTCTTTTTTATGCCTGTTCTAAGACTCCCTTCATCTATGGCAAACATAAATCCAAAAACCATTTCAGGAGGACCAGACATTGCTGCATTCCCCATTTTCCTGGACAAATCTTGAATACCTGAACCCCCCAAAATAACTAACCCGCCTAAGTGTTACTAAAAACTATGATAACGGTTTTTCAGACAAAATAAAGACTGTTCTTGTCAGAATTAGCTGTTACTCCAAGCATCCTTTACTCTCATTCTTGTAGAGAAATGGAGGAACATCCTGTGTTATTTCTCTTTATATGAAACAGATTTTCTGGGTAAATCTCCATGAGAACTGAGCAGTTGTTGAATATATAAGGAGCCAAGAGTGTCTAGAATATCACTAGAGAGCAAGCGATTGAAAGCACAAAGGGAAGAATTTATATTTTAAGGGAAAATCGAGAAGTTGTCTCTCTGACCTGTGAATCTCTGAACGTGTCAGGGGCTTTTGAAAAAAGCTGAGACTAACGTGATACAAACTGGAAGAAGAAACCATGAAGATCTCAAAGCATGAGGTGTCCCGCCTCGCTACCGAATATAACCGGTGTGATTCCTCCACAGGAAATTTTATTTTTTTTGCTTTCCTCGGTTGTAACAAACACAATTCCGGGACAGAGCGGAGACTCGGTTGCTGTCAAGTTGGGGACGGAGCCGGGAGCCAATCAGCGCGCGGCGTCGTGGTTGTATATATACACACACGCACGCCGGCCGCGCAGCTCAACTCCGAGACTTTATTCTTCTTCTTCTTCTTTTCCGCTTTTCCCTTCAGGAATCCCAACGCACGATGTCTGAAACCGCACCTGCCGTGCCTCCCGCTCCTTCTCCCGCCGAGAAGGCGCCGGTGAAGAAGAAGGCCCGCAAGTCCGCCGGTGCCGCCAAGCGCAAAGCGTCCGGGCCCCCGGTGTCCGAGCTCATCACCAAGGCCGTCGCCGC